GGGGTGTGTGGGTGGTGTGTGGGGTGTGGGTGTGTGTGGGTGTGTGTGGGTGTGTGTGGGTGTTGTGGGTGTGGGTGTGGGTGTGTGTGGGTGTGTGTGTGGTGTGTGTGGGTGTGTGTGGTGTGTGTGGGTGTGTGTGGTGTGTGTGTGTGTGTGGTGTGTGTGTGTGTGTGTGTGGGGTGTGTGTGTGTGTGTGTGTGGGTGGTGTGTGTGGGTGTGTGTGGGTGTGTGTGGGTGTGTGTGGGTGTGTGTGGGTGTGTGTGGGTGTGTGTGGGTGTGTGTGGGTGTGTGTGGGTGTGTGTGGGTGTGTGTGGGTGTGTGTGGGTGTGTGTGGGTGTGTGTGTGGGTGTGTGTGTGTGGGTGTGTGTGTGGGTGTGTGTGTGGGTGTGTGTGTGGGTGTGTGTGTGGGTGTGTGTGTGGGTGTGTGTGTGGGTGTGTGTGTGTGTGTGTTAGTGTGTGTATGTGGGGATATGTTTGTCCGCATATGAGTATAGATGCGACGTTTTCCCAGTCTGACTCACTCTGGATTTCACAGACTGGGAAACGGGAGGAAGCCCAGGCCTTATGGCGACGACGGCCAAATCAGATTACTTAACTGGCCTTCAGGCTGCCGGGCATTGTCACCCGTCTTGGCGAGACATCCCCGAGCCAAAGGCTGCCAACTAGTCCAGATGTCTGAATCCCAATCACAACTCAACTGCTGACTCAACGACGGGGCCCCGACCATCTGTGCCTCTTGCGGCGTGAACGTGAGGTCGTGCTGACGAGGGGCGAACGTGTCTTGCACCCGAGGATCAATGCAAGGAATAGAAAATTATCGGGCCGACAGACACCTCGTTGTCGTACTCACTTCAGACCTGTCGACCTCCTACACAACAACTGGCAGCCTGCTCTCCACCAAGACTTGACCGAAGGTCGGCAGAGATAGCAACTTCCAAAGATATTGCGAACGTGAAACATCTCTCTCCGGGATTGGTGTGTCTGTTCTGCTCGTCTGTCTCTCTTTTTGCGCCCGTCTGTCGTTTTGCGTTGGGCTTGGTGGTCGCCTCCCCCGCAAGTGTGCTACAGTATCACTTGTTGTGGGGCAGAGCTTCATAACTCTGCAACCACTCACGATCGCCACTAGCTGCATGCCTACGACGGTGAGTTGCACATGGCACGAGTCCGAGAGGGTACGTGGCGGCCATCATCAACTAAAGCCCACCATACTACAGCCGAAATGCTCCGTCGAATGGTCTCAAACCGCCGCTGGACCCGCAGCTCCCCCTCCCCGCAAAGGTCAGGTCAACTGAAGGTGTTCCCCCCGGCCCAAGCCAAGGCAAGCCCCAGCCGAGAGACTGCGCAACGACGTGAGCCAGAATGCCTACGGCTCTTTCTTTCTAAAGGCGTGACGGCGTCAGACTACGGCTCTCTTTCTCTCGCTCTCTCTCTCCAGGGCATGATGGAGCGGGCAGCAGCATCCAGGCTACCCTCCTCGTGCGCACTCTCTCTCTCCTCTCTCTCTCTGCTTCTGCAGGGCATGAGTGGCTTCGAAACCCCCCGGGCACATGGCCCCCCCATATGTTATGGGGCATGATGGAGTGTAAAACGATCTCTCTCTCTCTCTCTCTCTCTCTCTCGCCAGGCATGCGGGGCGATCTCTCTCTCTCTCTCTCTCTCTCTCCTTCTCGCGACAACTCCTCATGGGCTAGCGGTTGTGTCGCACTGCGGAACTCGCCTTCCAGATCATGAAATGCTCCAACAGCTCCTGCTTGACGTGGAAACAGTTCCCACAGGCCCTTTTCGGTTGCAGTGTGGCTGTGTAGGTGACATTTGCAGTTCCCACCACTATTGTTCGGACATGGAGATTCGCAGTGGTGTAGGGCCGCGGATCCTGAAACAACCCTGGCATTCATGGTAAGACACAGCCACAACATCACGCTAAGACACTGCCAAGCCAGCAGAATACAACAAACCAGGCATACGAGGTAAAACCAAAGATGCTACACCAGCACCCTGCACTCCTGCACGTCGCAGATCCCACTCCATGTCTGACAAGCTCCAGCTACGTCGCAAACATCTGCATGTGTTCATGATGTTGTGGGCTGCATTGGGAAGATCGTGCGGTCGTCGTCGCGACTGCCATCTGCACTCGGCCGTGTCGTCATATGCAATGCAGCAGGTCGACTGCATGCGTTGCATCGCACATCCATGGCGTTGGACTGTATACTGCATGCTGCGTACTCAGCATCCTACACGATTCTCCATGTTGCACAAAGGCATGGTCTTTTCAGCATGTGGAGGGCTTGATCCACCCCACCAAGACCCGCTTGATCCACCCATCCACCCCACCAAGATTCTTTTTTGGAGCTGGCCGATCAAACCCTTCTGGAATCCTCATCTCGCGACGAAGTCTCGGCATGTTTCGGCAAGATCTACACACACACACACACACAGACACAGACAGAGACACAGAGACAGCAGCACTTGCGGTCCTTTGGGGCGATCGTGTCGTTCCAAGTCCCATAGCGCGCTTGGGCCTGCTACAGGGCAAAAGTTGACTCATCAGCATCCTTAGCCTGGAGGTTCGGGCAAATTCGGGAGGCAGACATTGACAAGTTTTGGCCTTATTCGGGTCTCCACCTTGGGTGCCGGTCATGTCAAGCATCTCAAGCAATAGCTGTAGCTTCGAGCCCGGGAATTAGCACTGCAACATCCAGCAGGCATAAATCACCTGTGATGTTCATCGTAAGCGCCCAAAGACAGCAGCACTACCGCATCACATTCTAAAGCTGGCTGCAGCTTGAAGCTGCGGCCTGGTTGCTTAGCCTCAAAGGTCCCGAAAGCGGGTCTCACACAGTGCAGATCGCATCCAGGTCCACACTAGGGCCAGGGCACTATGGCATTCATGAAATGAGGTTAATGATTCACCGATGAACTCAGAAAAGCGGCTGCAACCGAGTACTGTAACAGGATGTAAAATGGCGGCGGGATCTTACGAACCACGTGGCATGCCTCGTAGTCCAGCTGCGCCAGCCTCAGCAACCGTTAAGCTTTTGGAAATAACTAGAGCTGTCGGCCCATGCTACAGGCAAGTTCCACCCCACGCGTGACCCCCTCTTGCAACGAGGCCCGGACACAAGCCTTGACGAATTGTCATTCTGCTCCGGAACGATAAAGCTGAGGATGAAAAGCAGCATGATTACCTGTCGGCCGTTTCTGCACACGGCTGATGATCTGCACTTGTGCTGTGAAAGGCTGTGGTCCTCCGATGACCGATGGGCACAATTGCCAGTGCTGTTGCCGCTTCGGAAAACCCTCACAAGCAAACGAACACACAACATCCTGCATTGAACCCAAAATTTCAAGATTGCCAGCATAGCCGTGCCTACGACGCACAATGTTCTATAACCGGGGTCGTGGCAAAAACCTGGCAGTAGCAACCTGTGCCATGGGAAATCGAAGCTCGTAGCTTCCAAAACTCAAAGGTTGCAACCGCAAGCACCACGGTGCAATCCGCGGATCCCATAAACTCCGTGCCGCGTTGCCATGAGCGCGACCTTAACCCCGACATCCTCACGAAAGGAGGCAGGATGTGCTGCCGACACGAGGCAGAGGAGATCCAAGAGATATCAAAGGAATGGCTTCTTCCTTTAAAGGGGTCAATGCGAGCCTCGCGGACGATGCTATGAAGTCATCCAGTTGTGGATATGCCGAACCTCTACTGTAGCGTCGGGTAACAGGGCACGGCAGTTCGAGGCAGGTGAACCGAAAATTGTCATGCCACCCGGTGGACGCCGAACACTAA